GGCCGTGCTCAGGGCCGCGGTGTTGGTCCCGTAGCCCTGGCTCATGAGGTTGCCGTAGCCGCAAGCGCCGCCTGAAGAAGTTGGAGGGAGGGTGAGTGCAATGTGGGTTTGGTTGATTGTAATTTGCTATAATTTTGATTTTAGTTGGATGATATTTTTTTAAAGCGGCACCCATGGGCTCTCCTGATTTGCATTAATTTCTGTGCATAATTAATTTCTCTCTCTCTCTCATATCTTTTATTGAGTGTCCACGGGCACTCTATAGAAAAACCGTTATTTAATTTGTTTGCAATAATAAAGCTGTTATCTTAGACATTTAATTCGTGCTATTTAATGAGGGTTGGAAAGTTCAAAAAAGTGTTACCGTTGGTGATGCGTAAAGGCACGCTAGTGTTGACTTCAAAGCTTGACTGACTGTGTAGAGGTCTCTCATTTATAAAGTTAGGTGGTAAAGTAAAAACTTGTGGAACTAGAACTACATAACGCTGTAAAAGTAAAAAAAAAAAAGCTACCCCTAAGTTAGCAACCTTTTAATAGAAAAAGGACTTCAAGATGATCAAATTTATATCAGACACGTATTCAAATGAATTTTAAAAAGATATATACTGTTGCGATGAAAAATATCTGGTTTTGATCCATTAAAAAGTACATTTAATCTAAGGACATATATACTAGAGCATATATTGCAACCTTCAATTTTAGGGTAAATTACCCTAGCCCCCCCAAAAGAGCTTTAATGATTTTATAATAATAAACCCTCAATGACTTTCAAAATTCGCGCTAAACCCACAATAACGATTATGTTTCGCAGAAAATCTTCAATAACTTTCTGCATTTTGCAGACAACCCTCGTAAATAATTTAAGAAAACAACAGAAAAAAGCATTTTGAAAGTTATCGGCGGTTTACCACAAAACGATGAAAGTTCTTCGGGTCGGGGCTTAGTCCAATTTTACCCGTTACGTGAGACTTTAGAATAGACATTGCAAAGTTCGTATAGATGATTAATCAAGAGAATATTGGTATGCATAACTTTGGTTAATTAAAACAACAAAGATCGATCAAATATTAATGCTCACCCATTGTGCCAGAGGCATCTCCACCCCCATAAAACGTGGCGTGGGCACCTTCCCATCCGCCGGCAAAGCTTATCCTCACAGCGAAGCAAGACAGAGCAATGAGGACGAAGAGAGCTTCGTAAGTGAAACTCATTGGAGCAGCCATTAACATATAAAATATTAGAAAATGAGAATTAATCAAGTTGTGTGTGCTTGTTTGAGAAAGAGAGCAGCTCTAACTGGCTATTTATACACTTGAAAAGGGAGCAAATTTAATTATAGTTTTTTTTTAATTTTTAATTTTTAATTTTTATTTTGTGTGTGTGTCAAGAAATTAACAAGTTGGTTGTTTTCACGTTTGAGCAGGCCACAGTCCGAACAGATCTCAGTAATGACACGAAATTGAGCGCGCACATGCATTTGTTCCGCTTTGAGTACCAACCGCTCGCCTCCTCTTTGAGGGGGCCCCACGCACGTGTGCGTCCCTTTCACGTGTGTACACGCACATGTACACAGCGGCAATCTAAAATAGTGGATACCACCGAAAAAGCACATGTCGTGCAAAATTGATTTGGATACTTTTAACTGATCACCTCAACTTTTACAGGGATTAGTGACTCTAAATTTCTAAATTTTTTTTTTCGTTTACACTTCGATTATCTAATATTCAAACTAATTAAAGCTGGGACAAAAAGGGGAATTAAAAAAATAAAGAAATATTCGTTGTTTGATACTTTGAACCATGTTTTCTAAAACTATTCCGATAATGATTCTTAATATGTTTCATGTGTTAGATATTTTTTTTTTAACTTGTACCTACGTATAATTGATCAAATCATCAAATATCTCTACAATAAGTTTTCATGTACGTATGATTAGAATCCTATAATTGCTACAAACAGTAATTGGGCTCACTTAACTTGTACCTATAAATTGATTTGGATAGTTAATTCACCTCATAGCATTCAGGGGATACTTGTACATACATACACCACAGTTACAGGGATTAGTGACTTCTAATTTCTAAATTTTTCGTTAACACTTTAATTTTCTAATATTGATCAAACGGAGTTTTCTCTTCGTTACTTGTATTTATACTATATAGATATATATAGATATATATATATATATATGCCCAACTCTCGTATGGACTCTCTGGATTAATGTATTGTCGCCGGTCAATACTCATGTGATTATTACACGTAACAAAGATAATTAAGTTCATCTCGATATCAGGAGGTCTGGATGCCGATAAAAAGAAAATTCACTTAACTTTAAGACGGAAATCACATTGTTTCACAAACTAGATCGAGCTGGACAAAAAGGGGAATTTAAATAAGAATAAATAAAAAGAAACTTTCTTGGTTTGATAGTTTGAACCATGTTAATTTCTAAAACTATTCCGATAATGATTCTTAATTAATTAATGTGTTTCCTGTGTTAGATAACTCTTCAACTTGTACCCATATGTATATATAATTGATCAAACCATCAAATTCGATCTCTAGACAATAAGTTTTCATACATAATTAGAAGTCTATAATTGCTGCGAAAAGTAATTGGGCTCACTTAACCTTGTACCTAAAACCTACTCCCAAACAGTTAGGAAATCTAATAGGATCGCCGATGAGTTGTTGATTTCTTGTTAATTACGTGGCAAACTTTTGGAAGTCAAAAAAATAACGTGGCGACTTCTTATTGGATGGAGGGCCAGAGTGGTTAGTATAACTGTTTGCGCAGTTGGCTGATGACGTGGACGGTTGAGCTAGTATAACTGTTTGCGCAAGGCAAAGGTCAACGTGGCGTGATGACGTGCACCCATAATAAATCACGCCTCTCTCGCTCCTGGCTTTTAAGCCCCTAGACTCTCGCAAAGTTTTTAATTTTAACTAGAATATAGAAAACAGAATTATCTTTCATTTGAGATGCATGAAGATTTTAACGTTGTATTCGTAAATTAATCTCAAAATGTGTTGAACTTAACCCTATCGATCGTAGTTTTAATTGAAGATATGTGTGATACGATGAATCGTATACAATTAACTGATCGACGTCTTCATGCATTTGTAGAGAATATATAAGATACACTGCCTCGTTTTGTAACAGATTTTGTTAAAATACAGTAAAAGGTTATTTTCCTTCGCAAATTAATGAGCTGCGCGTGTCAAATTAATTAGTTTCATGTTAGAAAACTTTCATGAGATTTTGTTATAGACGACACTCGAGGTGTCAAAGTTTTGAAGATGGACAGCTCATGTTCGTAAATAATAAAAGTATTTTCACCATTTCTTTCCAAATTGTCGGTGTCCTTTTCCTTGTGCAGTTTTAAGAATAAAGTAAATAGCTAAATTAGTGCTTGGGGTAATTTTATTATATATCTATTCATATTTATCTAAGCGAATCCTATTGCACTTTATTTTTAGGTTTTTACATCAAAACCATATTTACTTTTATGCAAAGTAATACTTACCACCTTTAAAGTTTTTATATATATATAAATCACATTTACTTGCTAACATGTTTGCAATGTCACAACTAATCTAGTTTTCAGTCAAAAAAATACACAAAATGATCATTTTACTCTCACCATTTTCTTGTTTTTTTCATCTTCTTCCTCACAAACACTAATCCTAACCCTAGCCTCCTCGTCCTCCTCTGCTGCACGTCTTCCCTCTCCATTCTCCCACAACTCCCCCTCCTCTCCCCCCCAAATCCCCTCCCCCTCTCCCTTATCCTCCCTCTTTCTCCCCATCCTCTCACTCCTGTTCCTTCCAAGTGGGAACTAGGACTAGGGTTAGGGTTTGGGGAAAGTGCTGGCCATAGGTTAGGGTTAGGATCTTTGGGGAGGTGGTGGTCATGGGTTAGGTTTAGAGGTTTGAGGGAGGT